TGCAAAGCAAAAAAATGGGGAGGAAGTCCTACTCTGAGAAATTCTCCACGACGCGAGATTAGCCTTGTTCCCCTTTGTCCCAGATCATGCATTTGGGTATGTGCCAAGACAATCGAAAGTCGTCGCGTACGATTTCGTAGTTTATTCAAAATCCGGTGCTCCAGTTAACAGGCTAATGTAAACTGAGAAAACGCCGCGCCTGTCGCCGCTCGCGGCGGTGCAGTTGCCATAGTCATGACCGTCCCCCCCCCATGCATTTTAATTTTTTATCGTACCTATTCACTTTTTATCAGCCTTTTTCAATGGCTTTCTGAATCCTCCTTGAATGATCTGACATTAAGGTGCGCGACGGGAAGATCATTGATGCTGCTAACATATTCTACGATGAACGTCGAAAAGCTGACATTCAAGTGGACTGTGAAGGCCAAATTCTTTCGCCAGGGTTCATTGACATTCAGATAAATGGTGAGTCATTCTTCCTACTGCTCTGACAACAAATTCCTCAATCGCTTGATCTGATCGAATTTCGTCCGAAATGCGCCATGCTGTAGACATCCCTTCGCTATCACTAAACAGAAAATTGACATGAGCGTGGCTATGAATGTTTGGCCAACCTGTTACTAGATGTAAACTCAATATCCCGGAGATAGGGAGGGCACGGCTGCGTATTTGGTTTGAACTGCCATCCCATCCATTTCTGGATGCGCATTTTTAGGGATATAGCAGTTTGAGGACACTGCAATCATGCCTTTTTCAGCACAAGACGCCATTTTAGTTGTCTCAGATGGGAATGTCCAACAACAAACGCATACTTGGCCGTGTTTGAATGAACTACGCAGCCACGCCTTCCCCATCCCCGGGATATGGTGTGATTTGGAACCGTTGAATTTCTTCCAGGTGGATTCGGTGTAGATTTCTCTTCAATGCCATCCACGGATGAGGAATACGAACGAGGTGTTGCCAAGGTTTCAAAGTGTCTTTTGAGTCACGGCGTCACTTCTTACCTTCCTACAGTAATCACAAGTCCACCGGAGGTGTACGCTCGAGTGAGTTCGTTTGATTTTTTTCCCAATTCAAGGCATCAAGCCAGGCAGCGTGTGGGAATGAACTCAAGTCCAGAATAGCGGCCATAACCAAAGCCATAGCTACAGCTAACTGTGTCAGGCGCAAGCTGGGTCAAGAAAAGAGACACCAGTGAATGAGGACTTTAGCCCAAACCTGGGAGTCTGGGAGGATGAACCAGCGCCTTTCAAACGCCTTGGATGCTTTGCTCCTAGTTGCTGTCTTCTACTGGAACCATCCAGCGCTCATGTAGTTTGAGGGGAGGAGACCACTCAGCCGCACCTCTGTACCCTACAGCACCGTACAGAGAATGCCATCAGGGGGCGACACTTGATCGTTGAGGTAGACCAGTGGTTTGGGTAAATTGGGATCCCTCTGGCTTAACAGAAATTTTTCTGAGCCACCGAGAGAAATTTTTCGGTTGCTGATTTCTTGTGGTCTTTCTCGTTCCATGTATGTTATGTAGTTGGGAAGATTCGAAAAAAGAACGGCGGGTCGGACGGGGTAAGGGTCGTATCTACGGAAGGACCTAGGGGAAGGGTCGTCCCACTCCATCACTCCCATCAACCCGACACCGCACCCCGGTATCCCCCTTCTAAAGGGGCCAGGCCGAGAGCGCAGTTGCCCACAAACGTCAAAAGACAGTGCCTGTAAAGAAGACAGCCTTCACCAACAAAAAAAGTGTAAGGGCCATGACAAGGGGAAGGGACACAGAACCCTGTTGGTCCCCCCCCCCCTCAGCTGTGTTAGCGCCTATTGCCGTGTTTCAACTGATTAGCTAAGACAATGATACTCGATTACAAACGAGCAAGTCGAAAACTTTTAACTTTGCACAGTCGGCTCTCCCTCCTGCGCCTGCAATTCGACTACGGTGCGTCATCTGAGATTGCGTACTTACCCTAGAATCTACGCCGATTATGCCACAATGTGCACAGTGCGGGTTTTATCGAGCGCTGTTGAAAATTGCCCTTTAATGGACTTTTGATAATGTCTGACATTGATTTTTCATGTGCCTTGTCGTAAAAAGGCCGTGGTTATCTGTGCTACCGTTCTCCGTTGCCGAAGTTTTACTGATTGCTCCATGTTTTTGTTTTCATATACTTTACCTCCTGACAGATTTTCATATTTGGGTTAACCTAAACACGCCTGTAAACGAATCCGAAGGGTTTCCATGTGTTACGAAATGGGTGACGTGACCAGTTTCGAGGGCGCTGTGCTTGTTTGAGTGCGCTTTATCTTTCGGACAGTCCATCATTGATCTTTTGGTCTCACGCACCATTAGCGCTTTCGTCAATCCCCCCTCATGTTTTCATTTCGTCGGTCGGAACTTACACTGGCGGGCTGCGAGGGTTACACCATATAGCTCACATTGTCTGGATAAGAATCAAACGATGTATCATGCAGTTGAGCGGTTGTTTTCTATTCTTTTTCGGTGTGTTTGCGTGGAGGGGTATTTGCTGTCCGTCTCTGTCCTGGTTTTTGCGTAGTAGGTTCTAACTAGAAGACCCATCAGGTCTTCACTCAAAGCCTGAAAACATCTTTGAGCTCGAATTTTGCTGAGTCTCGCGCAGCTTTTCAGGTCAACAGGGAAATTGCCAGCGTTGTTCATAAGGTGTCCTGTAGTAAGCAACCGTGCACCTTTTTTTATTGTTTTTTATTTCTTCATTTCCTCTTTTATATTGGACGGCGAGCGCGTCTGAAGAGATAATAAATCTAACGAGGCGCTCTCCTTGCTTCGGTGCGCTTCCATCTCTACGATGTTCGCTTTTGATTTTTTGATTGTTCGATCTCACGCGGTATTAGTGCGTCCCCGTTCGCTCACTACGTACTGAGGCGGTGGCGGAGTAGTGTGTTGGCTGTCTAACCGACGCATTCTCATGTATTGTAATAAAAAACGTAAACTTTTTACTGGTTGTAGAACTTTGGGCGCCGTTCCGTAAGATGGGCAATTTTGTATAGCCTATACCTTCTGGTCGCTGAAAATGCGTGCTGGCGCTCAGAATGCTAGATCGATGCTATACTTTGCTGGTCGCTCAAAACGCTGCCTCAAAGTCTGAAAACACACTCTCATGGGTTTTGCAACTGAACCAGAAAATCAAAATCTGAAGTAGTCACGTACCCCATCGCGCGACCGAAGCGTCTCTTGGCCCTCGTCAATTTAACAACAGATCCTTTCCTGTTACTACAGTTGTGTTCCTTCCTATTTACTTTATCATTATTATGATTACTACTGATTATGAGGTTAGTATTAGTTTCAAAATGATCGCCTTTCTTTCAATTTCAGTCCTGGAATATGTTCCAGAATTGAGCGTCGACAGATTAGATCTGTTCAGGTCTCCATTTGTAAATATTTCGAAACACGTGCTCGATTTAGTGCGTGTTTAACAGTTCCACAACTTCTCATACCATCTAGATGGTTTTCTGTTTCTCAGCTGAGTCATATTCTAGCCGTTTCCTCCCTAATTTTCGATTTTTTCCCCAGTAACCGGCCCTCCACCCATGACGAGCACTCGCATTTGATGTCGTTTTATTTGCTTTGCTGCGTTGACAGTTTATTCAGTTGCAGCAATCAATTTTTTGGATATCCCCTTGGAAATATTTGAAGATTCGCTATTGTTACAAATGTCATTTCAGTTCCCATTTCGGTTTCTTTTCTTATTTTTATTTTAGTTACTGTTTTTGTGAGTTTTAGCACGATAATACGCAAATCACATAAGTATATCTATTATTGTGGCAAAAGTACCTCCAAATTTCCAGGTATAGCTTAATATATGAATTCCTGCAATTATCAGTGGTAGGGTCTCGCTCAGGAGATCCATGTTGCGGCGTCGCACGTAGCATACTTGCGGCCCTACGTTCTTAGCGGTAAGACGTTAAGAGAAGGGCATCACTCTGTTGTGGAATACTCACTTCCTTTGTTAACTGTTCTCTGTCTTGCCTCGGATTTTTTAGAGGGAACCTTCAATTATGAGCTGATTGAATCATCCCTGGGCTACTCGTTGACCAGATCGATGCTGAAGACTTAGGTTTTGACCCCTCTGATACATTAGTACTGTGTTGCGGTGGTATTATTTATTGTTGTGAGGGGTAGAAAAACGAGAGAGGTTTGTACTGCTCTCTACACTTCCACAAGCGTACAATGACTGTGCTTTTACACACAGTATACATATTCAGGGCTCCTCCTGTTTGAAGACCTACTCGATTAAGGGGCGGGGGGTGTGGTGGTGATAGTAATCGTCAACAACGTAACAGGTTCACATTCTGCCCTCTGGTCTTGGCTCAGAATATGTCGTTTTCTGCCAGCTTCGTCCTTGACCACTTCCAGCTTCTTCTATTTTCGTGATGCCGCCAGATGATTCTGAACAGCGGAGACGGCAACGGCACTGTCTTCTGGAACTCCATCGACCAATACACGCCATCGTCGATTTGTCAGTGGAGTGAGGGTAAAGGGTTCGTAATGGCCCTGTGATTTCTATAGCTGTTTTTTTCCGTTTCAGGCTAACCCCTTTCCCTATGCACTCTCCACCTGATGGGTATACGGAGTGGAGTTCGTTCTTCGAAAAGAAACCATCATGACGTGCCCTGGCTTCGATGCTTGCTCGTTCGTCATCGAGATCATCTACTATGTCTTCAAAGGGGTGTTTTCTTTCTTCGGCTTTTTGGCCTTCGTCTTTTGGTTGTCGCTCCTGGGACTGTTTTCTCATGGCGTCTTCTGTTCGAGCATTTATGGGAAGGAAATAAGGAAGAAGGATGAGAGAAGGAAGGAAGAAAAAGAAGGAAGGAGGAAGGAAAAAGGAAGGAGGAGGAAGGCTCCGCGGTCGACAGATGAGCTGAGACCCTCCTGGGAATGCAGAACGTTATACAGCCAGGGCACATCATTGGTTGGGGATTTAGTCGACTCTATACGACCCCCCCCCTTTTTTTGGGAGTTGGTACGACCTCCCCCTCCCAAAAATGATCAAATACGACCCCCCCCTCCCTTTACAACGTCCATGAAGCGAGAAAAATCAACTATCAAAATAA